AGATCGAGCTCGTTCCTGTAGAAAAAATGATGGAGACGGAATATCACGTCGTTTGAACGGGAAAAGGTTCTCAAAATAACCACGAACTGATGATTAAAAGCGCTGTACCTGATTTTTACTCTCTTAAAAACATAAAAAAACTACTTAACTACTTCATTTTTAACAGTTTGCAGTGGTCCCAGCAAGCTAACTGCGCACTTCCTGATTACCTGACATATATATATATATATACGTGCTTATACAATATATTTATACTGGACACGTCACGTTTTACTGAAATACTTGGGCAAAAAACAGGTACGGAGCTTTTAACGCGACGCTGCAGGCAAAACGAAAACGTACATCTCCACGGAAACCAGAAAAGTTACGCAGTGCACTTTTAAAAAACGATCCGTTGGTCCATTGTTGTTGCCGTCTGCGTTTTTTTTTTTTTCACAGAGATTTACCGTTTTGGTTGGTTCCTTTTCTCCTCCTCCTCCTCCTCTCCTCGGCCCGGTGTATCGCCTGAGACTGTTAAACTCTATACTCCGACGTGTTTCTGTTTGAACGAATGCTGCTGAGTGCCTCGTATCATTTTTATCTCAGTTTAAAAAAGAAAAAAACCCTTTTAAGACTATATAAAGCCCGCTGAGGGGCCCACGAAGGCCTGCTCCGAAACCGCACGGGGCATTTTAACAGTGTGACCGCCGGTAATCGTGATGAAACTCACGTTCTGATCCTGTTTTTGCCTTCAAAATCAAACCTGCTGGAGTTACGGACTGCCAGATCACAATTTTATCACAAGTTTTAGTGTGCATTTTAGGTAGTACAAAACAAAATCCTCCAAATTTCAGTTCCTAAAAGTCCTCATGAGTCAGCCTGCTCCTTTTGACTAAAGTAATTTCGTAAAAGTTGCATAATGTGACAAAATTCTGTATTTTTAGCTGTTTTTACTGAAAAGGTCATTTGTGAGGACAGAAAGTGCTCAGTGTTACAGTTTTGCCTGATGATTTCCCGAATTAAAAGTGCTGCACCTGATTTTTTACCTTGTTAAAACTAATTAACAGAAGTACCATATTTTTCGGACTATAAGTCGCACCAGCCAAAAAATATGTAATGCAGAAGAAAAAAACATAAACCGCAATTAGATATACCCTCATTCGTTCAGCCTTATTAAAGATTAAGGAAAATAAGCTGAACAAAAACACATACCGTATTTTTTGGACTATAAATCGCTCCGGAGTAGAAGTTGCACCAGCGCTTTTTGGGGTAAATGTATTTTATAAAATCAGAGACCAGGAACCGACATTTCCTGTGTAAAGTCAAGTTGTAGTAAAAACAATAGAAGAGAAGAACAACAGACTGTTAACGTCACATATGAACAGTTCTTCAGATAAACTATAACATAAACAACAGAACAAGTTTAACAAACTCTCCGTCTCACTCCAAATCACTAAATCCATTCAATTCTTCATCCTCGGTGTCACTTCTGAACAACTCCACGACCTCTGGAGGTAAACGTTAGAATTCCAGTCAGAATTATTCAGGCCTTTCTGAATCCGTGTTTCATTCGTTCATTTGTTTTTCAAAATAAAACCAAAAATAAGAAAACGAAAAAAACAACTATTTTCTTCATTATTTGTCTCCAAAACCAAAATGAAAAAACAGATAACCTATTTAGTCCTATATGCCGGACTGAACCAGGACTGAACCTTTTTCAGTTCCGGTCTTGTCCCAGTCTAAGTCCTGGTGTCAGTCCTGGTCTGGTCCCGGACCTGGTTCAGTCCATATGTGGCGCAAAAGTCCCGCATCGCAGTTTAAGTCACGTAAACGGACGTTATCTGTTTTTTTCCAAACAGATAAACAGATATTTAAACACAAAATCAAACACTGAAAAAAATAATTATCTGTTTTTTTTTTTTTCATTTTGGTTTTGGAGACAAATAATGAAGAAAATTGTTTTTTCGTTTTCTTATTTTTGGTTTTATTTTGGAAAACTAATGATACACGGATTCTTTCTCAATCCCGACATGGTTGGTTTCGGTGTCACTGAAGTCCAGACTTTGTCCATCCATCCAGTGACTTCAGGAAAGTTTCATGGTTCATCCTCCCGGAGTTTCTCTCTCACTCCAAACTTTCTTTCTGCTGCTCGATTTCCATTTTCAGCTGCAGATTTCACGACTTGCAGTTTGTAATCTACAGAATCTGATTTTGTTTCTGGGGGCGTTTGTGTTCAGTCTTCTCAGTCGTCTTTATAAGTTTGTTTAAATCGGGGATCTCCACCTCCTTCCAAGTAGCTCGCCAAAGATTTTCTGAGTTATAAGTTTTGTTCTGAATAACAAAAATTTGATGAATAGAATGACGGTTAAAATTGTAAATGTATCATGTTCATGCCAAACTTTCCTTTCTGCATTAATAAAAGGATAATAGTGTAGGTTTTATAGGCCTCTAAATGTTCCGATCTGAAGCCGTGGCTCTTACTCTGTTCCTTGCGGCCGCTAAAAGAGCAGCTCTCTGGCATTTTTGTTTTGTAAAGGAGCTCGCGGAGGACAAAAGGTTGGAGACGCCTGGTTTAAATGTTAAATTGTTCAGTGGTGCAGAAGTAACGGTGCGATCGACTGACATGATACAGACAGGACGGAGGCTCTTTCTGCAGGAGACATGCGCAGTAGAGCCAAGTGACAGTGGCACAGGAGGAACAGGAGCAGCAGATACTCACACACAAGACTAGAACCTCTCCACACTTCACTCAAACATTTTAATTTATAAATCGCACCGGAGAATAAGTCGCAGGAAACACACAAACCATGAAAAAAAGTGCCACTTATAGTCCGAAAAATACGGTAAACACTTTCTACTTTTTGCTTTTCAATAAACTGAGTGAGCTTTTCTGCTTTTTAAAGGTGCTCTTTGTAACATTTATGGTGGAGAATTCGCTTTCTACTTGTCTCTGTGCTGTACTGGGAATATTCCGCAGTCTGGCATTAACCCTTTATTGTTTTCTTGTTCAAAAATTCCTTGAAAAACACACATTCTTACAGTGAGCAGGGCCGCCTCTCCACAGATCTGACAAGTAACTTAAAAAAACAGGTCGAGACTCTTAAAGCGTTTTATTTTCTGACTAAAATAGGCAGTTTAAGCTTGAGTTGGCGTCACACTGTTGGTCTGCCTGCGGTTTTTGCGAGCTGCGTGGTCCTGGACGAGAGCCCTGGGACTGAAATGGCATGCACTGTTTGTCTTTAACAGGTTCCACTAAAATACGTCACGTCACTGGGGTTTCTGCGCATGTTCGTTTGGAGTCCCCACTTTAACGAATCCATGTACGGCCACAAACACATGCTCTCCACGCCACCAGACCACGGCATCGGAGCAGCTGTTTACTGAGAAATATGATAAACAATGTGAATAATTATACATAGAAGTTCAACCTGGACCGAGCAAAGACAAACTTAAGACTTAACAGGACTAGAGAGGTTAAAGGTGCACTGCGGAACTTTTCTGGAGCCTGGTTGTCTCCGTGGTGATGTAACTTACTGTTTTGCCTGGAATGTTCGTCAGTACAGCATTAAACACCTCTAACTTGCATTAATTTCATTACAGGTTGTTTTATTGCTCAAACAGACTTTGAACATGCATTTTTACTGTGAGTGGGCTCGCCTCTGCATAGACCTGACATGTAACTTGGCTTGGTAGCGCCGCCTGTCACACTGTGGAGCATTCAAGGCAAAGCAACAACATCTGGAGATGAGCAGATGGTGTTCTCTCCACGAGAAAAGTTACGCAGTGGATCTTTAAATGTAAACACTGATTTTTAGGACTAAAGGAGATGAGCACAAGAAAAGTGACTAATTAGGACTTTAAATGTACAACTTAAATCTATAAACCAGAAGTACGATGTAAATGTGAACTCTGAACACAGCCTCCCCCTCCTGATGCCCTGCTCCGGCTGCCCCAGTGCGCTCTGGGAGACTGAGTTCTTGTGGCTGTGGTTCTGTGGCTCGAGGCTGATTGATACGAGTCTGTTTTGTACGGCACTGACGCTCCATGTTGTGATCATTGCATGCACAGCATGCTCTTTCTACTCTTTGGTTTATGAGGTTGTTTCCAACTTAATGTGGAGAAAATATCTACTGTTTCAAACTAAACCGCCTCCGTGTCGTCTTTTTCACTCACTCACTCAGGACTTTAATGTTTAATGTATTATATCAACGTTACATTACAATTGTAAAACCAACCTGTCCTCCTCTGGTCCTGCACAGACCGATCTCCCCTGTCCCACTTTTACATCTGTGCTACATGTATCTATATTTACACACTTTATATAAACTGAGAATTACACAAAAATAATCCTCAAAAGTCACTTTTTGACATTCTGACTTCTGAATATTAACATATTGTGTGGCCTGTTCCAGTTCAAAAGTTTTATGGTTGTTAAAATGTATTATATTTTATAAATTATAAGATTTTATAGCAGTTTCTCTTCATAATGTCCATCCACCACACCAGACGTGACTTGTGTCACTTTTACTGTAATTTGAGGTAAAACATAAATAATCTAACATAATCTACACGTGTGTCAGAAATACTCAAGTATCTGCTGCTTCTGCTGAACTTCACTGAAGTAATCGTGTTTGTGTGTTTGACTGAAGCTCAGAGTCACAGTCTGAGTCCATCTGAAGTTTGGGGAATTGGACCATGTTCTGTTGTTGTGTCCTTAGGCAAGACAGTTCCCCCTAACATGAATGTGGGGTCTGAGTAAGTGTTGGGTGATGGAGCCTATGGTGCAGATTGGCAGCCTCTTCTGTCAGTCTGCCCCAGGGCAGCTGTGGCTAAAGTCTGAGGTTAGAGTTTGGATGCATGAATGTAAAGAGCTTCGAGAGAAGTCCGGGGCATTATTACTATGATTATTAGTGCCCTCCCTGCCTCCTCTGAGCCTGTGTCTGTAGTCACGCCCCTGACACAGATCCGTCTGCAGGCCTATTCACACAGCGCCCCCTGGCGGCAGAAATGGGGCCCTCCAGTGTCCTGTTCACGGACTCTTTGTGCGGTGGTTTTATTTCCCTCTGAGCGGGACTGTCTTTGCCTTTAGTCCGTTTTCCCTGAGGTTTTCTGCCCCCTGTGCCCCGTGCCCGGTCCGTCCCCTCCCCCTGCAGCGGCGCTCGGCTGCGGTTTCCGGTGTCCGTGCTCCGGAGGATGGCGTCCGGCTCCAGCCGCATCCCCTGCACCAGCCCCGGCCCCAGACCCGCGCACCCGGAGAGCCCCCGAGAGCAGGCTGCACACGGCGCGCACAAGCTCCCATAAACCCGCGGTAAGTGCCCCGGTGCTGTCGGTGTTCGTCTCCCGGCGGTGCGGCTCCGCTCGGCGGGCTGGAGGCGTCCCTCCTCCCGCTGAAGGCTTCACGACACCCCGCTCTCAGGCCTCGGCCGCTGGGGCTCCGCTTTCCCCGAGAAACAGCCTCTGTCTGCAGAGAGCAAATGCGTTTTATACTTGAATCCCCGCGCTCTGATGTGTGCATTCAGTAGTTTTGCTGTTTTGTGATTTTCTCATCTTTTCCTTTGATTTCCGACCCTCCGTTTGTTTAACTAGTTAGCATCGTTAGCATTAGCCACAGTGCTAACGTCATTTTTGACGCTAAATTCAATTTCTGCGCCAAACAAGAGTTTATTGCGTGTTTTAACCCGTGTTTCACCTCTAAATATCAGATAAAGGAGTGTCATTCGTGTTCGTGCGCACATGTCGATAAAATGCGCAAATGAACGAATAAAATGCATCAAAATGAACCGCTATTTAATTTGTCGCCAGGAAATAGACCAACCCCCCTCGGGCTGATCTGCGGACACCGCTGGATCCTGCGCAGCTCCAATAAACCCGCTCCGTGGAATCACACAAATGTGATGTTTTTGTGGATGAATTAAACATTGATTTGTTTTGGGCCTGTGATCCGCGGCTCTGTCGGATGCTGAGGCTCCTCTCTCTGCATCCCTGTCAAATGAACAAACAAAATCAGTTTCCTGTCCTCCGCGTCCTAAACACAGATTATCATTCAGGATCAGGATCGATCCGCTGCGATCGATCGCTGCTAAAGATTTATTGATGGATTTGTCGTGAAACGGCGCACATAGAGCCATTGTTTCACTAAGTAGGTGTTTGCCTCGTTATTCATAAGCAGGAGTCTCTCTCTTTGAAGGTAATTGTTAACAATTACACGCAATTTTACAAATGTGTGGCTCAGAATTACAGCTCAGTCACAGCCCGTAATTTTGTAGTGATTTAATTTTGGGAAAAATTGACAAACAAATAGAATGTATAAAAACTGCTTCAGGTAAATGTGAGTTATTGAACTGTAATGAAGAGTTAAAGTCTAAACCTTTTACCTCATTCAACACAATGTGGTGTTTAGAACATTATTTATAGTAGTGTAGTTTACACTAATAGATGTTGACTCTGTCTCCATGGAGATGTTACTGCTTTATTTGAAATGTTCCTCAGTATTGCATTACACTAATCTGTCTCCGTGGAGACAAGCAGGTGATGCCATATTAAAGATGAGCCTTGTGAAGAGGTGACCCCACTCAACATGACAATGTATGTTTTTCAAGGTATTTTTAAATCAAATAAACACATTGCATAATGCAAGAATGATGCAATGCCATACTGTGGAACATTTAATGTAAAGTAATAACTTAACAGAGACAAGCAGCTGCACTTCTCAGCACGAAAGTTTTCCATGGATGAAAACGATGAAAAGTTAGGAGCATTACCATAGTGATAAACAGTTGAATCAAATATACATATATACATATATATTATACATATATGTATATGTACGTATGTATGTATGTATATTATATATTTGTATATGTATATAATATATATATATATATATATAATACTTAAAAATGTTTTATGTAATATATAAATATATATATTTATATATTACATAAAACATGAAGCTGAAAGCCATGAATAGTGCACCTTTAAACTCGTGAAACATTAAATAAACAGTTGTATTTTTGTCTTTGTCTTTGCAGATCCTTTTGTGAGTTCCTGCCTCTGCCTCTCTGCTGATTTCTCTCTGTGTGAATCCTTCAAAAGGTCAAAATGACGGAGGCGTGGCAGCAGTCTGCCCCGGCCGTGGTGCACACTCTTCCCCAGGGGGCGGAGAACGCTCTGGGCTGCACCGTGTACGGAGTGGTCCTCCAGCCCGACGCCTCCACCCTCCAGCAGGTCCAAGCGCAGCAGACGCAGATGCAGGTGACCAAATGCAACGCCTGCGGTCAGGACATCTCCCACCTCGCCAACCCTCACGAGCATCAGTGTATGGTCACCCAGGATCGCTCCTTCCAGTGTACGCAGTGTATGAAGATATTCAGCCAAGCCACGGACCTCTTGGAGCATCAGTGCGTCCAGGTGGAGCAGAAACCGTTCGTATGCGGCGTTTGCAAAATGGGCTTCTCTCTGTTGACGTCGCTGGCGCAGCATCACAACTCGCACGGCAATGGAAACAATCCGATGAAGTGTTCCATCTGTGAGAAAACCTACCGCCCTGGATCCGGCAACGTCACGCCCACTTCCTCCGCAGCCAACCCGCAGCAACCGTCGAGCGGCGAAGCGTCCGGCGGAGTAGCTTCCATCGACGAATCCTCTCCCCCCGCGTTCGAAGCTAACTCGCCAGACCGACCGTACAAGTGTTCCGTGTGCCACAAAGGTTTCCGGCATCTTTCCGAGCTAACGCGCCACGAGAGAGTTCACACCGGCGAGAAACCGTACAAATGCGACCAGTGCGACAAAAGCTTCAGCCAGTCGTCGCATTTGGCGCACCACCAGAGAACGCACAGCTCAGAACGGCCGTACAAATGCGCCGTCTGCGAAAAGAGCTTCAAACACCGCTCCCACCTCGTACGCCACATGTACGCGCATTCCGGCGAGCATTTGTTTAAGTGCAACCTGTGTGAGATGCATTTCAAAGAGTCCTCAGAGCTCCTGCACCACCAGTGTCAGCCAGAGGGGGAGCGTCCTTTCAGCTGCGGGTCGTGCGGGAAAAGCTTCAAACGCCCTTCGGATTTGAGACAGCATGAGCGCACGCATTCGGAAGAGCGGCCGTTTCAGTGCGAGGAATGCCAGATGAGTTTCAAACAGCAGTACGCGCTCGTCCGCCATCGCCGCACGCACAAAAACCCGGCGGATCGACCGTTTAAATGCAACCTCTGCGACAAAGGATTCCTCCAGCCCTCGCATCTCCTCTACCACCAACAAGTGCACGGGATGGAGAGCCTGTTCAAGTGCGCGTCTTGCCAGAAGTCCTTCAGCCAGTCGGGGGAGCTGCTGAGGCACAAATGCGGCGGCGAAGTGGAAAAACCGTACAAATGCGACGTTTGCGGGAAAGGCTACAAGAAGAACTCCACTCTGCAGCGCCACCAGAACTCGCACTGCACCGAGAAACCTCTAAAGTGCTCCCTTTGCGACAAGCGCTTCGTCTCCTCCTCGGAGTTCGTCCAGCACCGGTGCGACCCGACCCGCGAAAAACCCCTCAAATGCCCCGACTGCGAGAAGCGTTTCCGGTATTCCTCCGAGCTCCAGCGCCACCGCCGGGTCCACACCGGAGAGAAGCCGTTCAAATGCGCGAGCTGCGATAAAAGTTTCAAACAACGCGAGCATTTGGCGAAACACCAAAGCGTGCACTCTAGGGAGACCCAGTTTAAGTGCGTGTGGTGCGGGGAGAGGTTTATGGATCTGGCCGCTCTTCAGGAACACACGGTCCAGCACACCGGAGAGGCAGAGAACTTCCCCGGTGAAGAACAGTGCATCTCGTAAAGATAAAAACTACGAGAAAAATATGGAAAACTAGCATCTACGTTCAATATTAGGGTTTAAGCAAGGACTTTAACTGTAATAGAGAAACATATTGTGCTCTTATTGTCCTGTGGGTTACGGTGAACAGAAATGGGCTAGATTAATTAATACAACAAGGATTAAACCTGAAACATGAATTTAAATTTATGGAATTGGCAAACGACAAAGTCTTCCGTTTTATTCTGCATAAAAACCCGTAGTTTAGATCTGTACAAACATCTTACGAAATGTGTTTCTTGTATTAGTTTGTCATTTCTTTTTGTCAGTTCTGGACGTGTTTTAGAACGTGAACTTTGAACCGAATCCTAATATCAAAACGATAAACCGCACTTAGATATCCCCTGATTTGTTCAGGCCTATAAAGGATTTTCGAAAATGAGTTGAACGAAAACTATTACTGTATTTTTCGGACTATAAGTTACTCCGGAGTATAAATCACACCAGCCAAAAAATGTGTAATGAAGAAGAAAAAACATATACAAGTCGCACTTTTTGGGGGAAATTTGTTTTATAAAATCAGTGTGTAAAGTCAAGTTCTAGTAAAAACAATACAAGAGAGAACAACAGACTGTTAACGTCACATATTTCACAGTTCTTCAGATAAATATAGCATAAACAACAGAACAGAACAAGTTTACCAAACTCTCCATCTCACTCCAAATCAGTAAATTCATTCAATTCTTCATCAACTCGACCTCCGGAGGTAAACGGATTCCAGTCGATTCCTCTTCTGCGTAGAATTATTCGGGCCTTTCTGAATCCCGACAGGAGGGTTTCGGTGTCACTGAAGTCCAGGCTTTGTCCATCCATCCAGTGACTTCCAGGAAAGTTCCTCCCGGTGTCACAAGTTTCTCTCTCACTCCAAACTTTCTTTCTGCTGCTCGATTATCATTTTCAGCTGCAGATTTCACGACTTGCAGTTTGTAAATCTACAGAATCTGATTTTCTTTTTGGGCGCATTTGTGTTCAGTCTTCTCAGTCGTCTTTTGTCAGTTGTCGTTTGTTTAAATTTTAAGTAATGGTGCGAGCGACTGTCATGACACAGACAGGACAGAGGCTCTTTCTACAGGAGACATGCGCAGTAGAGCCAAGTGACAGTGGTGCAGGAGGAACAGGAGCAGCAGATACTCACACACAAGACTAGAACCTCTCCACACTTCACTCAAACATTTTAATATAGAAGTCACATTGGAGTATAAGTCGCAGGAAACACCCAAACCATGAAAAAAAGTTCCACTTATAGTCCGAAAAATAAATTACCACCATTCGTTCAACCCTGTTAAAGATTTTCGAAAATAAGTTGAACAAAAACTATTTATACAGTTCTTATCCGCTCTTTGTACTGGACCCTGTGCCAAGACAAGTAAAAATATCAAACTCAAAAACATTAAATCAAGATAAAACTAATCTTAAATGTGAAGGCTAAAACGTGAACAAAAACAATCATGATTTTCTGCTTAACACTGTCACATCAAACGTTAAATAACACAAACATTTTAAAATTAAGGTATTGCAAAATTACACGTTTAAACTGTTGCTACTTGGTGAAATACGATGTTTTTGAAAATGTGCTTTTCAAAATACAAGTTCAGTTCGGATTACTAAACTTGAGTAACAAAACTACTTTTTTTGGTAAATGTAAACAATGATAAAACTTTGCATAACGTATTTGAATGGACGTTTTTTAAGTGTGTTGTAATGTTAGTTCTACGATAACGTGGCCAGTACGAATCCTGTCAAACGGCTAAAGCAGCTGTCAAATTTTGGAGAACAAAATGAAGGTTTTCCAAGAATTTGTCATTTTTAGACACAGTGAGTATTTTTGTGTACATTATTACATTTTTTTTCATATTACGGACAAACAAAAGCTGAATTTTGACTGTCTTTGTTAAGATATTGTGAATTTCCTAACAAAACCGGAGACACGTGCGCGTATTTCCGGTGCGTCTAAAACATTTCACGTAAATCTCGAGTAACTTAACACAACAAAAACCTATTTCTGTTCACCGTAGCCGCCCAAAACTTGCTTAAGCTGAATTCTCGCCAGCCTCTCGCGCCCTCCTCCTCCCATTATAACGGTTAATTATTTGTGTTGTCCACCATTTTCAGAATTTTGAAAAGACTCAAAGCGAAACATTGAACTTTTGAAAGTGGGACCCCCCTTTCTTTCCCCACCATCCCTCTTTAAAGATGTACCCTACCATTTCATTTTTGTGGAAATTTTGCATGTGAGTAAATCTATTTTGTCCCCACGAAACGGCCAGAACTTTCCGGAAAAACTGAAACACGGAATTTGATGTGCCTTTTTTTCAATGTTGTGTTTCGTTGTTTTTAAGTTTGTATCTTTATTATTATTATTATTAATATTATTATTATATATTCAACCCTCCCTTTTTGCGAAGCGTTTAAAAATGGCTGGCTTTTTCCAAATAGTATTCCTAGTTAGCGTCATATGTTTGTGCATGAATATTTATCACTCTTTAATCACTGTTGTAATATAGTTTTGTTATTTTAGAAAACATCCTACGAAAAGTTAAAATACGTGTGGATTCGTGAACCTTGTATAGCCTGTGTCCTATTAAAAAACGTGTTGTTGCATCTTTGTATTGGCCAATTCTGTCGCTGCAAGTTGACGGTTAAATTAAATACAAACTCGACGGACGCGCGGGATTTTAAAAGTATCGGAAAAAAGCAAAGAATCGATACTAAAACTAGAACTGTTCCCGAACAGCTTTAGAAAGATCTCGAGCTGAATCGGAAGAAGTATAAGAGCACACGGACCTGATCTTGACCTGGTTTGGACCTTGTTTCGACTTAGTTTAGACTTGGTTTCGACCTGGTTTCGACCTTGTTTCGATCTGGTTTCGACCTGGTTTCGACCTGGTTTCGACCTGGTTTCGACCTGGTTTCGATTTGGTTTTGACTCGGTTTAGACCTGGTTTCAATTTGGTTTTGACTCGGTTTAGACCTTGTTTCCATCTGGTTTCGACTTGGTTTCCATCTGGTTTAGACTTGGTTTAGACTTGGTTTTGACCTGGTTTTGACCTGGTTTTGACTTGGTTTAAACCTGGTTTCGACCTGGACCACTGAGGGATTACACAGATATAAGAATACATGGGCATAAAAAAAAGAAAACACTTATTTAATGCTGAAAATCACTGTGCTTTTTAAAAAAATATCATGGCATTGGTATCGGTATCGGGTGTATTCCTTACTAGGGATTAAACAGTAACTGAAATATCGAGATATCGTATTGTCAAAGTTCTCACAATAATATCGTGGACCATCACAATATATCAAATTATAAGTAAATGAAGAGTTATGGTGCAGCAAAAGCTAAAAAAAAAGAGAGGGAACTACATAGACCATGATCCTTTGCTCCATTTCAGTGCAGACGACAAGAAGAAATTACAGTTCTAACACTTTTAAGTCTTAGTTCTTTGGATTAAGTCTTGTCAAGGCCTTTTAACAGGAAAAAGTCACATATTCAGTTTTGTTAGTACCACAAAATATGGCAATAAATATCGTGAAGTAAGATGTATATCGTGAAAATATCGTACTGAGAGATTTGGATATTTTTACATCTCTAATCGTGAGCTTTCCCATGATATTGAATAAATATCGTATCGTGAGGTTTGATATCGTTACATCTGTATTCCTTCGTAAAGATTCACCAATCCAGCTTTTGCGGTTCTTATACCCAGGGTTCCCATGGTCATGGAAATTCAATGAACATTTTTTTTAAAAAGTGATGGAATTTTAATATCTCTTTCACTCAACTCCAGCGTTCTGTTAAGTTCTCATTAGTCTATTATGATTATGTTTCGATTTTATTGTTTAAAAAGATTCACTTTAGGTCCTGAAAAAGTCCTGAAAAAGTTTAGAAATTTTGTCAGTGAAAAACAGTGGGAAACCTGCGTGCTGGTATAATTTTTAACCCATGCCAGTGCAGTGACTGAAAACTGGATTTAAAATTTGTCTTATTTCCTTAAAACGCAGTTAAATTATTAGACAAGAAATCCAGCTGTGTTTTGTAACTGTTATTTAAACTTTAAATCATGACTGAACAGTTTTGTTTGAGTAAAAGTTCAAACATCCTGAGACTTTCTAGGCCAAAATCAGCTCATAAATAATCGTTTTACATTCAAATAAAGGTCCGTCTACAATATCGACTTAACCGATACCTGATCCAGCTAATCTTCCAGAACCAGTATCGATATCTGCATCCTTAGTACTGAAATTAAATGCCGATCCGGGATATTGATTTAACTGATATAATGGAACCGATACCCGGTCCAACTAATCTTTCAGAACCAATATCGATCTCTGTTCATCCTTAATCCTGAAATTAAACGCCGATACGGGATATCGACTTAACCGATATCTGATCTAGTTAATCTTCCGGTATCAATATCTGTACATCCATAGTATTGAAATTAAAGGTCCATTCAGGATATTGACCTAACCGATATCGTGGAACCGATACCTGATCCAACTAATCTTCCAGTTCCAGTATCGATATCCGATACAGGTACTGAAACTACTGGTACTGGTACAGTTCCGATACCTGAACCAACTAATCTTTCAGTTTCAGTATCGATATCTGCGATACTGAATATCTTTAGTATCAAAATTAAAGATCCATTCGGGATATCGACTTAACCAATGTCAAAGAACTGATGCTCAATCCAGCTAATCTTCCAATATCAGTATCGATATCTGCATCCTTGGTATCGAAAATAAAGGCCTATTCAGGATATCGATTAAACTGTTATGGAACCAATACCTAATCCGACTCATCTACAAGTACAATATCCGATATCGATATCTGATACTTCTGATACTGGTACAGTTCCGATACCTGATCCAGCTAATCTTTCAGTGCCAGTATTGATATCTGCATCCTTATTATCAAAAGTAAAGGCTGGTCTGGGATATCGACATAACCGATATCAAAGAACCGATGCTCGATCCAGCTAATCTTCCAATATCAGTATCGATATCTGCATCCTTATTATCAAAAGTAAAAATCCATTCAGGATACCGATTTAACTGAAATCATAGAACCGATACCTGATCCAGCAAATCTTCCGGTTCCAATATCGATATTTGTGCATTCTTAGTATTGAAATTAAAGATCCATTCAGGATATCGATTCAACTGATATGGAACCGCTATCCGATCCAACTAATCTTACAGTTCTATTATATCTGTGCATTCTCAGTATCGAAATTAAAGGTCCATTCAGGATATCGACTTAACCGATATCAAGAAACTGATACCTGATACTGGTACTGAAACTACTGGTTCTGCTACAGTTCCGATACCCGATCCAGCAACTCTTCCAGTTCCAGTAACGATATCTGTGCATCCATAGTATCGAAATTAAAGGCCGATCCACAATATCAACTGATCAACCGATATCATGGGATTGATACCCGATCCAGCATTTAATATTTGCCAGTATCAATATCTGTGCATTCTTGTTATCGAAATTAAAGGTCCATCCATGATATTGACTTAACCGATATCAAGGAACCGATACCCGATCCAGCCAGTCTTCCAGTTCCAGTATCGATATCTGTGCATCCTTAATATCGAAATTAAAAGTCCATTCAGGATCTCGATTTAACTGATATGGAACCGATGCTCGATCCAGCCAATCTTCCAGCAACAGTATCGATATCCGATACTGGTACTGAAACTACTGGTACTTGTACAGTTCCCATACCTGATCCAACTAATCGATCTGTCGATATCTGTGCATCTTTATTATTGAAATTAAAGGTCCATTCAGGATATCGACTTCACCGATATCAAGGAACTGATACCTGATCCAACTAATCTTCCAGTGCCAGTATCGATATCTGTGCATTCTTATGATCGGAATTAAAGTTCCATGCAGGATATCGACTTAACCGATATCATGGAACCGATACCGATCCAGCTAATCTTCCAGTTCCAGTATCGATATTTGTGCTTCCCTAGTATCGATATCGATATTTGAGTATCGTGACACCGACTTTTTATCTGTACGTTTATTTCAGTCATAATTTCCTTAAACCTTGCCGTTCTTTTTCAAACTTTCTTGATATAAACACGACAGGTTTTTCTGCGTCACTTCCATGTTTCTGTCGTTTGTGTTTAAAAACCGAAACTTGACGCGACGGAGTTGATTTCGAGTCTCGGTTCTGGGACCTGGAGACTCGACTCGGTGCAATAGAAGGTGCACAGTGTATTATTGGACTACTGAACCTAGTCTGTTCTGTTCTAGAGTTGTGTGGCGAAAATGTAAAAGTGCTTCTAGTTAAGTTCAAGTTTGTTTTGAAAGGTCCTACATTCTGCAAATTTCAACTTTCTGGAGATTTAAACCGTCAAAATAATCAAAAATACACTTGGAGTTGTGTTTTTTTCCTTAAGTAAACAGTATTTTTATTTTCAGTATTTTCGTTTTTTTTTCTTTTCCAAAAACAAACAAAAACGGTTTCAGTATTGATTTTACGAACAAAAATATCATACTTTTAAACTGGTTGCCGATTAAAGGTGCACTGTGTAACTTTTCCGGTGCAGGGTCCGCCATCTGCTTGTCTCCATGGTGATGTTATCGCTTTGCCTGGGATGTTCCGCAGTACGGCATTATTTCAACGAATATATCTTGTTTTCGTTTCATTGTCGTTCAGTTTCAGGTGTTTTTATTTCTCAAAACTACCGCAAAAATGCACAGATCTGACCTGTCACTTGGCCTGGCGATGCGGCCTGCTCGTTTCCATGGAGACAGTTCAATTAAAAGCCATACTGTGGAACATTTCAGGAAAAAAAACAGTGCGGCATTAAACAAATATATCTTGTTTTCATTTGATTTTCATTCAATTTCAGGCGTTTTTATTTCTCAAAACACTTATCATTTCAAAAAAACACTTATCCACGGATCTGGCCTGTCACGTGGCCTGCTCGTTTCCATGGAGACAGCTAAATAACAGCCGTACTGTGCAACATTTCAGGAAAAAAACAGTATGGCGTTAAGCAAATATATCTGGCTTTCGTTCAATTACAGGTGTTTTTTATTTCTCAAACCACTTATCATTTCACAAAAAACTACTTATCCACAGATCTGACCTGTCACGTGGCCCGCTCGTTTCCATGGATATAGCTCGAATAAAAGCCATACTGTGGAATATTTTGGGAAAAAAATGTCAAAACAGTCAAGCAAGTGGTGGATCTTCTGCCCGTAAAGTTCCACAGTGCACCTTTAAGACAGAGTAACTGCGCCAAAAACTCAAATTGTCATTCGGTGTCCCTCATTCTGAGCGCAAAACACTTGGACCCACCTTGTGACATCATCTGGTGGCTATCTAGATGTGTTCCTCTGTGTTTTTAAAGCCCATATTTTCAATTCTAAGCGCTCAAATCACCTTCATAATGGCACGTCTCAGCTTCGAACCTCGCAACTTTGTTTTTACCTCATTTAAACTCGTGACTCTCGCAGAAATCACGTCGGAAATAACTCACTTCCGTACGTTTACAGTTTTCTAATGTAGCTATCAAATAAAAATGAAACAGCGAGGTTTAAGCGTCTGAAAACAGCTCGAACTCCCT